ATGTTTTACATTCGCAAAGTAAATGATTCAAATGGTTTTAATATTCGCAAAATTCACGACTGAATACCGTTTACAAATTGGGTGAAATCTGCTTCAAATTTAGTAAAAACTGTTTGTATAGGTTCCTTTGTGTGTTAAGGTGTTAATAAAATTTGAGAGGTAAAGTCCTTATTTTTTACTTAAGTCTGCTGGCAACAGTAGTTTGACTTAAACATTGTTATAAAATCTACTCGTTTCAGTGGGACCTGATACATTTTTTTTCTTCAAAAGCCCAACAATGATTGTAGTTTTGTTAGTGTTTTTTCAGGATATTAATCTACAGGTCCAGGAGTTACAACTGTGTATCACCAAGATTTCCCTCATATACATATGGCTGACAATGACTGATCTTTTCAGCTTAAAAAGAAAATAATATGAAACAAATAAGAATAAAATTTCATTGTTCTGAATCTCAAAAAATATACTTATGAATTCGAATGTAATCATAAGTATTTACGTATACAGTCGCCGACAAAATACTCTCGACACGTCTGGTAGCGTCTGAGAAAACACAGACATCAAAACATACGTAGAGGCCAAATATCATACATATAAGTACACTTTGGTGCGCCTTGTTTTATAGTACACGGGATAGGAGACTAAAACATTGTGACACGATCTGAATGTACGAGTACAGTAGTACTACCAGACGTGTCCAGAGTATTTGTCGGCGACTGTACTTGTGTATGTGTTGTCAGCGGCGACTGTACTTGTGTATGTGTTGTCAGCGGCCAGATACAAGGTTTCACAGTCTTACTGAGAGTATCAGAGTAGGTGATTCCTGCATCGTGTCCAAACAACCTTTTCATACCTTCATCCATACCCTCATTTTTGCTCTCCTATTCTTATCCACCCTTCCACTGCTCTCTTTCTCCCCTTCCTTTCTGTCCTCTCATCTCTCTCGCTCCTCGTGTAGGGAACTCCTTCATTCTTATTACCTGCTTTCCAAAGGTACCTCTCTTATCTTGCCTGCCTGCTCGCCCGTCTTCCTGCCTGTCTGCCTGTCTGTCTATTTGTCTCCCTGCTTGTCTGCATCTCTCCCTTCCTCCCTGTCTGCCTACATATTGAACTTACACGTTTTCCTGCTTGCTTAACAGCCGTCTTCAGTGCTTGGCTGCCTCTGCTCTAGTACACGCATGAGTTAATTCCGTTCCTCCCCTTATTCTTGTGTTACAACCTGTCTGTCTGTCTGTCTGCCTGTATAATTCCCACCTGTATCCTCTTAATATATACTCTCTGTACTGATTCCTAGTTGTGTGCTTGCAATATATACTCTATTTGTCTGTCTACGTGGTTTCTGCCTGTCATTTTATCAGAACCTGTCCGTTTATTTGCATGATTCGTACCCACCCATTTGCAGTACATTCCCTCTGCCTGTCTATCTGCCTATCTTTCTGTTTCCATGATTATTGTTTATAGTATCAGTTTGCATTATATCCTCTCTGCACGATTCCCGTAATTCTGCATGCATTTTATTCCCTACTTCTCTACTCTCTAGAATGACTGCTTGCATGATTGCATGATTGCCCATTTGGCTGCCCTCATAACTGTCTACGTCATCGCGCCACCACCAAAAGCCCCGCCAACTGGCCAGGTCAGCTCCCCGGCAGCCAATCACCGCATCACCTTGCCTGGAGATCGATCTTTCTAACCTTAATTGCCACCAATCACGATCAGTGTCTCAAGGCTCCTGCAGTGTATATTATTATCCAGAATAAAATAATAACACATCCAGGGTCCTGCAGAGTAATTATATATGCTAAGTAAACAACTACAAGACGTCACCAGTACTGTCTTAAGCTTTCAGAATAAACACAAATATACATATAGAAACTACCTTAGCTATATACGTTCACGAAACAGTGCAAAATTAACTCACAAACTCTCTGAAAGGTTTATGCGTTTCATTTTTTTTAAATGATGCCAAAAGACTGTGCACAGTTTTGTATGCTAAAAAAAAGAGCGAGCCCAACATACACACACAGGGCAGTAATCGTGGAGCAGACGGCTAACATTAGTTGTTCGATTACGTTCATTTTTCCACATGTTCTTTGGGTGATAGTAGATATTAAACAATACAACTCAACTTTTTATTTCGATTATTAGTATGTTTTTAATTTATTTAGTTTACTTTAACGACGATCTTAAATCACCAGTAGTGGGCAGGGTATGAAGGGTGAGGACTCTTGTGAGCTACAGAGAGAATGTTACTACGACAAACAGCAGGGACAAGTAAAACCCGACCTACTTTAGCTGGTCGCTTGGATGAAACACACAAGACCTGTGTAACACCCCATTAATAGAAACAAACTTATAAACCGACCCATCACTCACCTGATCCTCCTCCCCGGAAGTCACCTTCTCCCTTACCCGCTTCAGAGTGGCACACGAGTCTTGAAGCTTGGCGAACTCCTTGGGAGTCACAGTCAGTGGCAACAAATTCGGCAGAATCAGGGGATGCGGTCGTTTCACCTTCGCCGTCCGTGTCTCTACACGGTTGGCCTGTGCATGGCAGCTCCTGTCGAGAATAATAACAAAATAATATCTGGATGGTAAATTATAAAAAGAGAAAACTCGGCCCGTCACATCACATCACTGATGTGACTCACATCAGTGATGTGATGTTTATATACACAGTGATGTGACATTACGGTGTATATAAACAAACTGCCTTGTCGGTGATGAACATTACCACTCTGTATTTCCACTGAGGAGGGTGACAGACTGACAGTAATTGTCGAATTTGTCGCCGAAACTACCCAGAAGAAATATTTCGTCTGCCACAGTGCCACTGTGGGTTTTTCTACTTGCTAAGTGAGGTCTGTTTAGAGAGAACATGTGAGTAATTTTTAACTATAGGAGTAATATTACAATCAGTCAATCTCAATCATTCAGTTCAAGTGGCTGTAGTTGAGCTGAGCTGTACAGTATAAGGTAAATCAGGAATCAATAAACGGGATATAGATAAAGTTCTTATAATATCCGAGTAGGATAGGACTCGGAGCAACGGATTTAAGTTGGATAAGTTTAGGTGGGAGATAGGAACGAACTGGTTCACAAATAGGGTGGTGGACGAGTGGAACAAGCTTAGCAACTTTGTAATAAGTTGCTGGAACTCTGGAAAGTTTCAAAAGGAGGCTAGATAGATTCATGGATGATAGAGAGTGGTAGTAACTCTCGACAGGAGCTGCCATGCACAGGCCAACCGGCCTATTGTATATATATATATATATATATATATATATATATATATATATATATATATATATATATATATATATATATATATATATATATATATATATATATATATATATATATATATATATATATATACGCCGTCTCTTAATTTACTTAAATATCCAGGTTCTAGGCGTAACCAAACAAAAAAGTGAAGTAAATTAAAAGGGAATAAAAATAAATAAAGTAAACCTTTAAGAAATTAATTAATTAATTATTAACACAATAAAGAGCCTCGTAGGCTGTCACAACAAATTGATTCACCATCGAAAACTTTTAAGACAAATGATACTAAACATCGAAACATCAAGAGAATAAAAATAAACCATTGGATTACGTTAACACTGCATAAACATATAAAAACTAACACCGAAATTAACTAACGTGAAACAACACTGAATTACTTAAATGTAACGAAGCAAATACTGATGGACATAAATAGAGACATAAATAGGTACTCACACAGATATACCACATTGGTGGCAACAGGAACAACACAAATAAATTAAGTATAAGAAACAAGTGACGAGTGTCACTCAAAGGATGTGCACTGTATGACAAGAAGACTGAACTAACTCCGTCAGTTGGTGGGTCCTATATATAAGGTCGGCTCCCGCCACGCGACCCGCCGGTGGGTCGTTTAACGATGCAGATGGTCGTTAGAGAACAAAGAATGCTGGTTACAATACAAAATGGGTTTGAACAAATAATAACAGTTAAAACCTTAACAGCACAGGGTTAAGGTGACTAGATTATATAATAGTAAATACAACACATCATTACAGGAATAATATGGAACATGGAAGCATGTTATATAAAAAAAATAGAAAAATACGACACGGTCGTAACAATATATATATATATATATATATATATATATATATATATATATATATATATATATATATATATATATATATATATATATAAATGTACCTCTAGGTTGTTTCATTGTAGTTACTTATGCTCCAAGATTAACATTCACGTTATTCTGATGGGTGTGCCTCATAAGTCAGGAAAATGCTGTAACTAGGAAAAATAAACGTGTTCACAGACTGCTTGACTCATCTGTTAAATTCCAAGAAACATTAATTTAATATTTAAGCAAATATTATGAAAGATTTGTTTCACAAATTGGAAGACTGATTATAAACTGAAAATATCGTAAGGTGGATGTGATGATAAACTTCTTCATTCTCTGTTCTAATAAAACATTAACATTACTTTTGGGTTATGTAGGGTATTTGGTGGGTTGGACCACAGACAAATATCTAACTGGTAATGCGGCCCATGACTGAAGAAAGGTTGCCCATGACTGGACTAGGTAAATAAAACTAATACTGTACGACTGTTGTAAAGAACAGTATTTACATAAGGTTAGCAATACACCAGTATTTTCTAGTCTTTATTCTCTAACTGTAACTCAACACTACAATGACTTTGACTGGCAGCAATATATATATACATATATACACATATATATATATATATATATATATATATATATATATATATATATATATATATATATATATATATATATATATATATATATATTTCATGAAAACGTGGATAAGATAAATCTTGATAAAATCACGGGAAAAGGAAACAACGGGCACCTTAGCTTTCGTCTTTATCTGAAGATGTCTTGAATAATTTATATATATATATATATATATATATATATATTTATTTATATATTTATTTATTTATTTATACACTGTAGTCACCTTAGGCAACACTTCATACAAATCGTTCATGAACCTTGGCTTATTATTGGGTGACAAGTTCTCCCAGGAAGAGGGGGAAGGCAGCCAGGAGGCCGATGGACAGGAGGAGGAAGGGCCCCTGCAGGTTAGGGAGTGTCAGGGGCTTCTCGCTGGCAGCGCCCTTGGATGACTGTCTTCCGGGTGTCGCGACATCGCCCATGATATCAAAGTACCACTTGTTGACGAGTCCAGCCTCCACCAAGCGGCGGATGCCCTGGTCCAGCCTGGGTCGCCAAGGTGTGTGTTTAGGCAGGAAGAAGGCGAGCGCCCCTGAGTACACCTGTTCCCGCAACATGTATGTCGTCTCACTTGTCCTCACATCCTCCTCTAGCAGGTTCCTGTAGGCAACACAATGAGTGGGAGACTGCAAGACACATAGAACAGACATATGTATTTGGGAAATACTGTCAGTATGACACAAACCAGACATATGTGTGGGAGACACTGTTAGTAGGACATATAAACCAAACATATAGTGTGGGAGATACTGTTAGTAGGACACAGGACATCAGACATAATCATCAATAGGTAAGACATGAGGTACTGTATATAGTGTTTGATGGCAGCAGAACTCAACAAAAGGGACATACGAGGCTATAATATTTTCCATAAAATTTCAGACATGGATGATGTGGGCACCCTGGGGTACTACAGTACCTCAGGTAAGAGTAAGTGTCAGTAGGGTGTAGGGGGGGGGGGGGCAGGAGGTAAACCCGACATCATTTCCACCTGGTACAGCTTCTGGCGTGTTTGTGAAATGTGGTAACTCTGTGTTTGTTTAAATCACAATAAAACTAATAAAACGGCCTGAAGGAACCTCACAATAGTACCCAGATTTAGGATGCAAAATAAGCAGTGTTCCATTATCTCTGATTGCAGCTTTTCTTTTATGTTTATAGTTTTAATACATATTACTAAATAGAATGTCATTGACTCCTGTCTGCTGATTGGCGAATTGATGTGATGTCATGAGATGGAGGGAAGGGGGTAGGGAAAAGGTGAAACAGCAATCCTCAATCTGTTTAAATTAACATTAAGATAAAACAATATTCCTTCCTGTCTGCTGTATTGGAGGACAAAATTCAGACTCTTCATGTTAACTCGGGAATAACCCTCGGACATGACGAAACGGGCCATTGCATTAGGAGAAATATTTTTTTTTTATATGCGTTTGTTGCATACTAAACTAACACAAAATATTACACCATACCAATGGCTTAAATATGCATTTACTATAGTGGTAAGAGATAATGCATTTGCATCTAGTCAGTGATGTAAGGTATGAGGCTAAATTGGGTGAAATAACAGCCATGAGGCCAGTTATAACCTCGCACCAGGTCAAGCATAAAGGCTTGCATCTCCAACGATTTAGTGATTCTCATGACACGATATTTTCGTTTACGAAGTACAGTATGTTAAAAGAATATCATAATAATCACTACTAACCATTCTTGTCTGTTGGGGATCAAATATGACTTATACACATTTTATTGTAAGCTTGTGATGGTATGATGCAAGAGAGAAAATTATAATTTTACAACCTTTTTTCTAGTACAGTATCTCTCGAGTATTTTATGATGTAAATAATTTAGCAAAAATATTGATCGATAATTTCAGATACAAGTATAGCAAGGTATGTACCATCCAATGTGTTTGGGTTGTTCCTAACGTGTATGTATTTTATATCTGTTTTATTCCTGCTTGTGGTGTAATTGTGCCAGTATGGCTATTACTACTTATAATTTTTAGGCATATAATAGAACAGGTAGTCCCAGACTCACGATAGGAATACATTCCTGGACCCTGTTCTTAAGTCTATTTGTTCGTAAGTCAGAACAGTGTCAATTCCATAGTTTAGGTTAGGTTAAAGCACAGCCCTGCCCATACAAAACAGTAATATCCCATTCATATAAAAAAATGTAAGTACAGTGATATTACCATTAGCCAGAACAGAGCAGTTCCGGGAATGAGAGGTTTCCCGGGTAAGGAGACGACTCTCTCAAAGCTGAGAGACCGACGTGACCGACCGCCTAAGTGGCTAACGAGCCGATCAGTGGTGAAGAGGATGAAAGAACAAATGATAAATGTATACTTTTACAACCTAATACAGTAAAATGAACCCAATATTTAACCATTGAAAACCAAGAAGATAATATTCTCACTCGGAAAGGAAAGATAAAGCCTTTTTTTTGCTGAGCACTATGCATGATTCTGTAACTTACAGTGAGCAATTTATATCTCAAAGTGTCACACCATATGGCCAATAGCCTTGTTTGAAAATATACTGGACATTTTGTGAGAATATTATGTATTATACTATTATGTTCATATTGTATTGTGTAATTACATTCTGAAATGTATAGAGGATCATTTATGATATTTGTTTGTAAATTGTTGAACTGGCTCCCATGGCTGTTCGGAACTGTGGTCCGCATTGACAGCCGCGGTGTGGTGGCGCCAGTTGCCGGCCAGCCAGGTCAATTGTACCCTGACTGGCATAGAGAGAGGATCACTTGTAACCTTGTCAATAAATCCAGCTAGAACTCCCCGTTTGCTTGACCTTGATTAGTGGCAGCAGTGGGTTGAGGATGGCAGACTTTAACTATTTCATTCCACAGTGCATATGTTCTTTGCAAACCTCAAGTGTAGGCTATTTCTACATGAATTTGAATGCAAATGATTAAGTCTGCGTTGACACCACAGCCTGTCTTACCACGTGCTCCAAATGCTGGAGCTCCCAGAGTCAGGGAAGATGATCATTCTCCTCCAGAACAAAAAAGACATGTAAAAAGATGACGTTGCAATTTTTGCAAGTGACATGGGGTGGATGGGAAAGTAACAGGAGAAAACGGCCCCAGTTGAATATGGCCCGACCCTAGCCAAAACAACCTTATCCTCTGAACAAAACTGCCCTCCACTAAGGCCAAAACGGCCCTCACTAAAACAGCCCAATATTAACTAGTGGTTAAGTTTGTATTGTAAAATGCATATTGCAGTATATTTTGTAATGTTTCATTTTTATTTTAAATACATATTATAACTTACAGGAAAAGATATAAACAAACACAGAGTTACCACATTTCACAAAACTCTCCAGGCACTATGCCAGGTGGCTGTTATGCCGTGTACCTCAGGTAGGAGTAAGTGTCCATACTGATAGGGCCACTGTGGAGGAGGTAATACAGGAGGTACCTCAGGTAAGAATAAGTGTCAGTAATGGCATGGCCACCGTCGAGACACAGCTGCAGCAGCTCGCCATAGCTGACATCATCATCTTTGTGGTTAAAGACTAGATCCATCCGGTCCCCCAGAGCCTTGAGGTAGCGGTCCTGGGATGTGGCCAATGCCTCGGGTACGAACTCTCCGTAGTCCACCATGCTCATTCTAGCATACTCGTAGTATGGGGAGGTTGAGGTGGAGTGTGTAGGAGGAGGTGTAGTTGGGGTGTGAAGGAGGAAGTAGAGGTAGGGTGTGTTGGAGGTGGTGTAGTTGGGGTGTGTAGGAGGAAATGGAGGTGGAGTGTGTAAGAGGAAGTGGAGGTAGAGTGTGAAGGTGGAGTGTGGAGGAGGAAATGGAGGTGGAGTGTGGAGTGTGTAGGAGGAAATTGAGGTGGAGGGTGTAGGAGGAAGTGGAGGTGGAGTGTGTAGGAGGAAGTGGAGGTGGAGTGTGTAAGAGGAGGTGGAGTGTGTAGGAGGAAGTGGAGGTGGAGTGTGTAAGAGGAGGTGGAGTGTGTAAGAGGAGGTGGAGTGTGTAAGAGGAGGTGGAGTGCGTAAGAGGAAGTGGAGATTAAGTGTGTAGGAAGAAATGAAAGAAACCAGGACGAGTGTTAGAGGAATTTCTTGGTGTAGGAGATGTGTATCGTTATGGCTAGCTATTACCAATATTAGACATTATACCATTATATAAGTGGAAGTGTGGCATGGTGGCCGTGAGTTACCTGAACTGGCTGAGTGCGAGACCCTCAATAGTGGAGATGGTGGACGGGAACACAGGCACGGTCAACACAGCTATCAGGTTACACGTGTAAGTCACCACCAGGATGAGACAGCCTACCCACCAAGGTGCCAGCAGGAGTCGCACCGCCCCCACCTCTGGCACCCTGGGGGAGCTTTGTCGCACCAGACTCTATGGGGGACAACTGGGGTTAACACCTGTGGGAGCACTGTCGCAGTAGGGCCTGTTGTGATCACCTAAGGGAAGTGTATTTAATATTATTAATAATAACAAAAATAATAATAATAATAATAGTAATAATAATAATAATAATAATTATAATAATAATAATAGTACTACTACTACTACTACGTGGCCTCCAGCCTCCCCCAATAGCCACACCTTCGCTGCCATTTTATTACCTTAATATTAAATATCCTAATACATAAGTAGCTATCCTGTCTGTGTTGAATTAATTGAGCCGCAGATCTATGCAGCATTCAGTGACTGTAGCCTCATTGTCAATATCTGCAGCAGTTGTCGACATTGGGGCAGAAGCTCTCATTCCCCTGAGGCACAGCAACGCCGACCAAAGGAGAGAGAAAGACAGTCAACAACTCATCCAGGCTGTAACGTAGCTTCTGGGCTGCTGCTTCTGTTCGGAGATCACCTAGGCGAGTCTGGCATAGAAACATCTTGCACTTGGTCCCATCCCACCAGAGGTTGTGAACACTAGAGGAGTGAAGCTGCCTTGATCAACGTTCTGAATTCTCTCCCCATATGCCCTATCTTGTCGTTCTCGTTCCTCCTGTGTGCAGCATCGAGAGCTAGGTTACGGTGACATGCGGCCATGGGATAAAAAATCCTGATGTCGAAGAAAGCTCGCTGTCCCTGCATCCAGAATCCTCGAGCACTGACGTCAACACGGGCTTCGTTAGATGTGTTTGAAGTCCTATGTTGGAAGATCTCACCATCCAAAGGAAGGAGGGTCGGTTCTACCATGACATCCCGGCAGATTTCCTTCAACATATTTGCTGTGAGGTCCCTTACTTCGTCATGCCTCATGCATATGAAGCCCCCTTTCTTGCACACCATGGCGTGATCGACGTCATAGGAAGAGCCACACACGCATTGGAAGGGCAAACCTTCTACTGGCCAACCGTACCTTTGAGCAATGGCATCTGTAAATTCTTGTTTATTGAGGCTGAAACCATTTGCCCTTATTGGTAACGTAGTTAACCAGTTCGAGGCGCCCACCTCCTGCGCTATAGCTACTTTTTTTTTCAAACTTTCTGGTACCTGCAGCAACAGTTGCTGCAGCTTATCATTTTGGCAGTGCTGTCGTTCTGTCGTAATGGACCGTCGAATCTTGTTTACTTCACTGGTATCCACCTCCCCTGTTGCATTCTGGGCTATCATGTGGTCCGTGAGGGTTGCCGTAAGCTTAAGTGAATTTTGATGTTCAGTGGCAGCAATCTTCTCTGGATTGGTTAGTCCCATACCTCCCAGTCTTGATGGAAGTGCAAGAAGTGATCTTTCTGCTGGGGATAAGTGGGGGTGTTTCACTAATTTGGGAATGAAACTGACACTGATAGCTTCTTCCAGAGGGTGGAGGAGGGGTCCGATATCAGGGATAGTACGCATCAGGTAGTTCCAACGATGCTTGACTCCATGGGTGAATGCAGCAACAGCCGCATGTGGCTCTGTGTTAGCAATCTCAGACAGAGCTTGGATTTCACTAACCCACTCATTCACCTTTCCCGCTACGTACTCGGTCTTGAAGTCCGTCGTGCCAATTACTGCACCTAGATATCTTTGGTCATCCTTTGTTATTTTGACCTCACTTCCGCCAAACACCTCCATTGCCCATTCCTAATGTTCTGGCTTCACGATGAGGAAGGACTTGCTGGCGTTTGGGTGGTACCCTATTTGTGGACCTCGCGATGTTACCAGGTCCCACCACTTTTTGATGTCCTCCACTTTTCCTGCTCCTGTAAGGTCATCAGCATATGCCATTTGTTTGACCCCAGTTGTTTAAAATTTTATTTCTTGTTGGAGCACTGATAGGCCTATTGCATACATAGCCATTGCAACAGGGTACCCCTGTGTTGAGACCAAGAGTTATAATGATGAGTAGAGGCTGTAACTCACACAATAAGAATGAGACCAAGAGTTATAATGATGAGTGGAGGTTGTAACTCAGACAGTCAACATTAATGATAGTCTTAGGGTGGTGGTTCACAAGTGGGTCATCACACGCCAATTATCTTGTCATGATAAGTTGAGGATAGGACGAGAGAAAGAGAGAGAAGGAGAGAGATAAACTGAGAGAAGGAGAGGGAAGGGGGGCAGAAGGGGGAGACAGAAAACGATAAGGAAGGGGAAAGAGAAGGGAGGAGGTAGAGAGATAGGGAAAGAAATGGGGAGTAACAAAGAAAGAGACTGAAAGACTTGGAAGGAGAAAAGGGTAGAGAAAGACAGCTGAAAAGATAAAGAAGTAAGAGAAAGGAAGAGAAAAATAGAACTATATATAGAATTAAAGAAAGGAGTGAAAAATAAAGTTGTTATGAGAGAACAGAAAGATCTTCACATGTTTATATTGTTAAGTCCTCCAAGATGGCTAGTAATTAATCCTTAATGGCGAGTCTTTCAGCATGACAAGTAGTGGTAATTGGCTCTATGTAGATCGTTGACAATAATTGTGAGAGGGAAGGTTTGTTGAATCACTTTTTCTTTTCTTTCTTGTTTGTTTAAGAAATTTTACAGGTTAATGTGCATCGGCCGAGTGAATACAGAGCTCGTCCCAGTTCTAAAGGTCGCTGGCTTGTGCCTAGGCACCCCAAATTTACCCATCTGTGAGTAGGCAACTAAGTTTACATTTAGAGAAGTGAAATAGAAATGATGTAGTTCTAGCCACAATGTCTCCCTGTATACCAAATGCTTAGTACTCATTGCTCTCCGTACTCCCCCTAACAGGCCGTCAAGGCTATAAGACATACTGTTACTAATCTAATTGAATACATTTATATGCATTATATACAGCAAGTAGAGATCAAACATAATCTGATAAGAAAAATTGCAATTCAGTTCGTGATTCATGCCAGTGCAGAAATAATTATCTTGTGGTGGATACGGTAATGACTACAGTATATTCTAGGCCGGGTGTTACAATGGCCTTACTCTCTCACACTAACTACAATCTCCTTTTCTCATAGGTCAAGGGCACAGATGAGTCACCCTAACTTACCCTAAAGACTGTAATGGCTGCATCTTGTATGGACGCCCTGTTATGTGAGGCAGCACGGGTTAAGAAGTACAGTGTGGGCGTGGTCAGCAGCAGGGCGCTACCAACACATGCCCACAGTACGGGAGTGAAGGGATAGAGAAGGCTCATCCAGGCAGGCAGTGGCGGGGGGATCCTTAGGGCGAAGCCAAAACCCTCGTAAAAGTAGGTGGTGGTGTGGTCGAAGTCCTGCAGACGGTCGTACACCACGGTGAAGTAGTTGACAGTGATGTTCTTGGTGGAGCGGTACACTTCCCCCAGCAGTCCGTTCCAAGTTCCGTTCTCCAGTTCTCCCCATTTGCCGTCCTCGGCCTGTTGTGTGGTGGTGAAGGTAAAGTTGAGCCACGAGCCTAAACTCCTTAAGATCCTGATGCTGGTGCCGTCCACATTGTCTCCGTCCTCATAAATCAGTGGGTAGTCGTCCAAGTCTGAGGCAACATGGAGGACCTCTCCGTCGAATGTGTGGAAGCGATCAGGAAAGAGACGATTCTCCTTGGAGAAGACGGCCACATCCCACACTCCCAGAAGGTCCTTGGTGAGTCGATGACCCTGGCAGTCCCTGGAAAGTGGACGTGATGTATACACGAGGGGCGTGAAGGACCATTTACTGTAAGAGGCCTCCATGAGGGTGAGGGAGGGGGAGAGTTGCAGCTGAGGCCACTTCATCAGGTGGGCGGCGTCCCACGAGGAGTTGACGTTTATGACAAGTATCATGGCTGGGGTCCACTTGTCTCCAGCCTCTGCCAGCCAGCTGGGCCAGCTGGCCGTCACTAAGAGAACTGCACACCGGCCAGTGAGGACAGATGGTGGAGGCAGGTGATCTTGCCAGTCAGGTCCTGGACGCAGGAGAAGTAGTGGTCGTGGGCGATGTCCGCCATGGAGGGAGTCTAGGAGGTGGTCGAAGAGCAGAAGGGACTCAGCTGAGGCATCAACCAGAAGGACGACCCACTTCTCTTGCAACGGTCCCTCAACTGCCTCCACAATGGCTTGTTGCAGTTGCTGCGAAGCTTCACCCACTTTACTCCAAGTCATATGTGACCTCGACGTCAGCAGTAAGGCGGCAAGGGTGTGAGTGACTGTCAGCATGGCGAGTGACGCTATCGTCAGTAGCAATGGCAGTGTTGTAGGTGCCATTTTTACTGCCTGTCACTTTGAGCTACCTCACCTCATATTACAAGTGCCACGACATTGCTCATGCGTGGTGGACTCCTGCGGCAGCTAGCATTCTTTCATATATATTTCACAGTGAAACGAGTCGATACATTCCCGGCTGCAGCACGCAAGGGGTTTAACTTTCAGAAATCGTTGAGGTTGAAACATTTTGACAGCTGTCATCATCCATCAATGCAGTATATACTATCTGTATAAATATATACTGTACTAGGTGTATCAACCTGAGTGAAATGACGTTGACAACTGTCACACAAGTTGATTTTACAAACTTGTTACCGCAAAAAGTCGACTATAATCACAGACAAAAAAAGCACACAGACCTGCAACACCACCACCACACACACCATCACAAATCAGTTTCTCTCGACAGCGTTAAATTCATTTTGCTGCCTTTTAATTGCTCGGTAAATATTTAAAGAACACACCGAGCTCTGGCGGTGAGTTTCATGAATACTAATGGAACTAACCTGAGTCCCTGATGAGTGATGAATCTTGATGTTGAAAGTTATGAATTACTTAAGCATATACAGTACTCCTGCGATTGATGCCTTAAAGAGAAATATATAAAATATTATATTTTCAGCAGGAGTGAGAGACCCCTAGCTAATGTTATCCTGTCTGAGGTAAAAGAGTTACTACATTATTTATGGAAGGCAATGAATATAAAGACGAGACAATTTTTTTAAACATAGATGAAGCAAAGAAAGACCAGACAAATGGTATTGCCAGATCTATTCAAACAGGCATCTTGTGAGAAATTAAAAAAACATTGCCCAATTTTTTTTTTAACTGTAGGAGCTTACATGATGTGGGGAGAAGCACAGCTAGTCCAGTGACTAAGCACAAGAGTTTGTACAGTTATAAATTTGACGACTGCAAATATTTCTGGATAGTAGGTAGGCAGTAGGCAGCTATAAAACAGGGAGATACTACCGCCTGGGAAGATATTGGAAGCATAATGTATTGTCTAATCGTAGACCCTGCTGCCATATGGCATCACAAAAAATTGTGACCAACTCCCAGGTTGGTGATCTGACTTTCTGCCTCATTTACACACAATTGCAGGGTCTCAATTGTTTCTCATACTTTGACAACACAACATACATATATCGTTTCTCACTTTAGATTATTGTGTTTTTTCTATTATTTATGGTTATTATTATTTTTTATTTATTTATGCATTTATTATTAGTAGTAGTAGCATTAGTAGCCTGACCCCGTTCTGTGAGTCGACCCTCGTCTGGGAGTCAGGATTCATACACGCACACACACACACGACAGTACAAAACAATAGACATTGTTTTAGCAGTTGGCAACCTTCCTCCCCTTCCCCTCCCTTCAGTTCCCTCCCTAACCTTCCTACCTTGTGCCTTTCACTCCCTCCTTTAACCCCTACCTTCCCACCCCTTATTCCCTTCCAAACTTACCTCTCTCCAAGTCACCACATTTATCTACGACACACATATGATCCCCCCGTCTCTCTCTCTACACCTATGACAACGCCCCCTTATCTCCCAGTCTCCTCCCATTCTTACTTTCTCTCCCTTATCTTCCCTCAGTCCCTCTCCCCCATCTCCCCAGGCCAGTCCCTGATATACACTGTCTCTTATCTCCATAGTGAGAGAGATATAATATGAGATAATGACCATCGCCGCCTCTTTACCTCCTGATGAGTGACTGGGTTGATGAGTGAGTGGCCTAATGAGTGTTCATAGGTCACAGCCGTAACTTAAAAGTAAATGTGTTTGCAATGCTTAAATGCTATGACAGGAATAAATTGTGTGCGCTGATAGATGTTAGGGTAAAGTAAGCTGTGGATAAATTTGTTTAAGTTAAGCTTGGTCAGGTTAGGTTAGGTTAAGCTAGCGTATGTTTGGTAAGGTTAGGTTATATTAAGTAATGTTCAGTTAACTTAGGTTAGGTTCTATTAAGGTTGGTCAGTTTAGGTTATGTCAAGCTAGGTTAAGTTAAATTAGATTATGTTAAGTAGATTAAGTCTGGTTAAGTTAGGTTAGGTTAGGTTTAGTTAAATTAGGTTAGGTTAGATAAGGTTAGGTTAGGTTTAGTTAAATCAGGTTAGGTTAGGTAAGGTTAGGTTAGGTTAAGTATAATTAGGTTAGGATAAGCAAGATTAGGTTAGGGTGGAAGGCCGGGGAAGATAATGAGAGGAAAAGAGTCAGACAGTACACAACAATTGAAGCTGATAAGACACACTCCAGAGCTGATGTCATGGCCACTTTAATAACCAAAACATTATGACTAACCACACACAAAATATTATAAATTCCCTGAAACCCATAACTAAAACAGTAAAAAATATATAATCAATAAATAAACAACAAAATAAATGTAGACTCGCCCGCTTAGTATGCACACAAAACATAAATAGTTGACTAAAATGTAAGTGAGATGGACACTCCCCTTGCGGAATGCCATGAGTCACTGGCCTGCTTGATGTTACTTAAAATTTTCGTATTAGTTACCAGCTGAAGGTCGTAACGTTGAGTACAACTCTCCTTGTGCTCTCGTAAACCACACCAAAGTGAGTACAGTATAATATAGAAGCTTTTCTTTATATTGTTATTAATAGTATACGTTGTGTGTTATATGTTTTAACTAGTATACAGTACATTGTTCTTCCTAGTATTATTGTTCTTCCTAGTATACCTTGTTAGTACTACTATACATTGTTATTACTAGTATTCATTATTACTAGTATATTTGATGGGTGGGAGGGAAACACAGTGATGAACTGACTTCAATACTCTAACGTTTTGGGCTACATATGGAGAGAGTGATACAGTGCAACATATGGAGACAATGATATACTGTAGTCTTGCAGTGACATATTGATACATTGTAACTGTTATACTGATACGCTGTGTTAATACATCATCTTTAATTGATGTATAGTGAGTGGAGAGAACTGTATCAGGAAGAGGATGGGATGAGAACAGATAAAAACAAGTGACAGAGAACATTGTTGACCTTGGCTATTGCCGCTTTACATGCAAAAGGTTGTGTCTGTGTGTGTGTGTGTGTGATGGCGTTCAATAACCTGTTGACACTTCCGGCACATTAATATTTACGTGATTTTTTTTTTACGGGAATTAGCCCACCCGGCCACAGGTCACTGACCCCACACCGGGGCCTAGGGGGCGAAAAAAAACAATTTATATATATAATAATAATAATAATAATAATAATAATAATAATAATAATAATAATAATAACAATAATAATAATAACACTAATAATAATAATAAATAATAATAAAGAACTCTAAAGAAAAAAAAGAAAAAAAATCAATAGTGAGAAACGATTTATGTACAAAATGTTGTGTTGTCAAAGAGAAACAATTGAAACCCTGCAATTGTGTGTTATTGTTGTAGCGTGTATATTTGTTCGATTGTTTCTTGTATGCTTTCTGTGAAGGTGTTTTTTTTTTTTTTAGAGAGAGAGAAAGGAGGGGTGAAAGAAGATTAGAGGTGGGGGAAGGAAGTTATAGTTCGGAAATTGAAGAAATTTAGGAGGTAAGAGAGGGCGTGCTGACCGCCTAGCTAAGCTAATAGTGTTAGGGTTGTGTCATGGGTTAGTTATTGTCTGTCGGTAGAGGCACTAGACATCCTACCCTGTCCCACATATGGGTGTTTTGAGGGCCTTATTTCATATTCCGCCGACCCTACTGGCGGATGCTGGTCTAGGGAGGTTGTCTATTGCCTGACCGTGTAGATCAGGGGTGGTAATGGACCTTTTGAGATTTGGTAACTTTTTGGGAACCATGTATGGTTGTTGTCATTATCTGGTGGGAGTCTTTGAAGGAGTTCTTGCTCTGACCGTTCTATCTTTCGCCAGATTCTGCTGGCCAGGGTGTGCAACTGCTGGTTGATGGGTTTTATTCTCAGGTCTCTATGTATCTCGGCTGTGGTTCTAGTGAAGGGGCATCTTTCACCTGTGACGAATCTTAGGGCTTCATTTTGGACCACCTGTAATTTTAATATTTGAGTGGTGCTCATAGTATGAAGAGGTACTGCTGAATAAGTTAATATCGGTGTGATAAATGATGTCACCAGGCGGAGTTTTATTTTCTCGGGAAGCGCTTTAAAGCGGTATAGCTTTCTCAGCTTTCTTCTTGCCTTTTCCTCCTGGTGTGGACATGATGGGAGTAACCTGTCGTGGATATATGAAGGCACAGGAGGGTGTCTCTGCTTTTGTATCTGGGCATTATTGGTTACTAATGGATGGGTTTTCCTTCTGCATAAGGGTATCACTGTGAATTTCGGGAGACTGTTTTGTATTTTCCATTGTTTTTCGTAATTATTTACCCTTTCTAATTCCCGCCTCGTGTTGTCGGCCTGTAACGCTCGCGATTTTCCTTGATGTGTTGTTATTTGAGTGATGTCATCTGCATACATAATATCTTCGTTACCTATTCTAGTGGGAGGCGGGGTGTCACTTGTGTAGATAATATATAGGGTGGGGGAGAGGACGCTCCCCTGAGGGACTCCGCTCATGTGTGGGTAGGTCTCTCCTGTGTGTTGTCCTACCCTCAGTCTGTGAGTTATGAGTGTGTATGCCGGGGAGGAGGAGGGTGGGTGTGGGGGAGGAGTGTGGGTGTGGGGGAGGAGTGTGGGTGTGGGAGGAGGTTGGGTGTGGGAGGAGGTTGGGTGTGGGAGGAGCATGGGTGTGGGAGGAATGTGAGTATGGGGGTATTAATCAGTTTCATTGTACGCTTTTCTGCCAACAGATGGACCAGTTGACTTATGTAGCCAACTTCCATGATGATGATGCTGTGAAGAAGATGTCCTACCAGCCACTTGGTAACACTGGTAAGCCTGACTTATCACTTGGTAACACTGGTAAGCCTCACTTATCAATTGGTAACACTGGGGAGTAGTAAGCCTCATTTGTCACTTGGTAACACTGGTGTCGGAAATTTGATCTGCTTCCCTTAACAACAATATTGTGAAAAGAAGGTGAATCAAGCCAGTAAGGTGGTAAGTCTTATAAGGTCGTTCACACACCTAGATGGTCCGTCCCTCATAACGCTCCTCAAAGGCCAAGTGCCTCCCCAATTAGAGTACTGTCTCTCCGTTTGGTCCCCGAAATAGGCAAGTCTGTCAATTAGTGGAAAATGTCCGCAGGAATGACAGGACCAGACTGGTGCCTTCCCTCCCGCGCCTCAGGTACCCAGAGAAATAAGAACGTCTGCAGCTTTCCAACTTATACTAAAGGTGGACAAGGAGAAACAAGTCCAGAAAACTGTGAGGGCGAACTTTTCGGCGTGGAAATTGTGAGCTCTTGGAATAGCCTGCCAGAGTGTTGTGATGGCACCGAGTGTGAGCTGTTTCAAAATCATACTTGACCAACAGAGCAGGTTCAGATACATTCAGTAGCCAATGTATGCCCAGTAGTTGCCAACAGTACGTAACAGAGACGTGACCGACCGCCGAAGTGGCTAACGAGCCGATCAGAGTGAAGAGGATAAAAGTAAAAGTAAAACAAACGAGTCGTTTTGAGGAAGGATAACCCCAAAATGTCGTTTAAGGCTTATATCCATTGAGTTTCTTTATTATTTATTTTCCTATGTACATAAATTGATCATGTTATTAATTATATCTGTATGCATATACTTTTTAATCTTGAAGACAAGATTAATGTTTATGCTTACGTCAGAGTTTTTATTATTATCATTGTGATACATTATATACCTTATTGAAGAGAGAAAACGAGATGTTACAGATCCCCAACTTCGATAGTTGTTGGGGTCTAAAAAGTTAATCTTCAGGTGAAAAATAAACTAAAGAATATATCTAATCTTAATGTGACCTATTCCCTCTAAACTCAATCTTAATCCACACTTCCACTTCCTCATCCCTTGTGTATACTGACCAGGACTAAGCGTGTCGAGGATATCTCTGGGTGGAGGACCTCTGGGGGACATGTACGGCAGTAACAAAGAGGAAGAGTATATAGCCACTGTTCATCTGGCTCTCAAGTCTGGCATTAACTACATCGACACGGCTCCCTGGTATGGCAATGGTCGGAGTGAAGAAGTGATTGGTAAGGTGAGTCCTGTGGGGTGGGAGGGAGCAGGGCCGGATTAACCATGAGGCACTTGAGGCACTGGCCTCAGGCCCCCCGACTCTAAGGGGCCCCCAAATCCAAACATTCTCGAAGTTGAAGCATATAAAACATGAACTTCATTCAACGATGTCCTAGCAACATCTCAACTTTCTGTCTCATGAACATTGAGTGTGTTATTTTGCAGAAGCTTAATATTGATGAAATCATTGATAAATTTTGGTATATTTTGCTCTTGCTATATATATATACCTTGAGGGTAGGGAGCCCCAAGTTGATCTGTGCCTTAGGCCCCTATTAAGCTTAATCCGTCACTGGGAGGGAGGGAGAGTTATAGAGAGGGATGAAGAGGGAGAGTGGGAGAGTGACTGAGAGAAGGTAGGGACTGTGATAGAGAGACAGGGGAAGGAGAGACTGTGAGAGTGATAGAGAGAGTGATAGTGACAGGATAGAGTGAGTGGTAGAGAGAACAGAGAGAGAGGGAAAGAGAATAGAGAGAATTAGTTTAACAAATTTATTGACAAAGCTTGGAGTACAGTTTGCCTATTCTGAGTAATTCAGTCAGGTCTTGACACTGAGAGTGGAAAAGAGAAAAGGTAGAGGGTGAAATAACAGAGTGAGAGAGAAAGGATTATATATATATATATATATATATATATATATATATATATATATATATATATATATATATATATATATATATATATATATATATATATATATATATATATATATATATATATATATATATACACACACACACACACACAGTTGGGTCTTCATTTACGTGGTCAATTGAACCCGTGGAGGCCCGCGTAAAACGATAAACGCGTAAATGAAATAACAGAACATATGGGATTAATTGAAAGAGAGACTGGACCGACCCCTAAACTCCACTTTTTCTGACACAATACCTACGTTGTAGTAAAAATAACATCTTAATTTTATGATGGTATGCGCACATAATGAAATAATTAAGAGAAATATCAATAATAATAAGTTTAACACTTACGTTAGTAGAAAAGCTGGGTCGGCACACGTGGATGGAGGCTGGTTCCGAGGCAGAGGGCAGATTAGTTGCCCTCCGGTGAATCACTTTCACTACTCGCAGAGGTTTGCAGGGCCTCCCAGACAAACCCCTCAAAGTCCATATCTTCACTGTCAATATCACTATCACAACTTGGGCTGGCTGTGGTTGTGGTGGGTTGTGGGCGAGGAAGTCCTCAATACTATGTTGACGACTAGCATTGATGTTGTCGAGATAGATCTGGATATACGACTCCATAAATTTCGTCAGATGGTTACTAGACGCTTCATACCGATGCTTGTCTGGGTTGTTGGCAAGGATGAGCTTTAATTTCTCCCCCAACTCGATGATTTCCTTCACATCATCATGGCTTAGTCCAGGTAATTCAATGTTTTTCTCTGGTGGTGGGGGTCCCGTGGCAGCCATTGTGAGTTGTGAGGGGAATAGCAGGCACAAGAGAGAACTGTATATGCGGAGTGAGAACAAAGTGACAGGCCCTGCTAGGTCAGCGAATTCTTCCCTCCCGTGGCAGGGGACGTCATATTACATTAAACCAATCACAGCTAGCGGGGGAAGGAGGTAAGGATGCGTGGCCCAATCACAGGCCGATACGTCATATGACGTCACCGATAACGCAACAGAGACATCCACTGCGCAACCTACCCGCGCGGCTTGCCCAAGCGGGAGCGTCGAATCTAAAAATAGTGTCGCGCCAGACACTCTCCGTGTATATGAATAGATGCACAGCTAAAATGAAAGTCCGGTTCTGGCGAGGTACCGCGTAAAGCGAAACCGTGTAAAGAGAGAGAGAGAGAGAGAGAGAGATACTACCCATGAATACACCAAGGTAATTCCACACTTTAATTACCCTCTACACCAACACTCACATTTTCAGACTCCAACCTCAACACGCTTACAGTACTTCTCTCCGTGCTCTCCGTGTAGGCCCTGAAGGACGTCCCCCGCAGCGCCTACTACATCGGTACCAAGGTGGGCAGGTACGAGCAAGACTTGGAGAAACAGTTCGATTTCTCAGGCAAAAGAGTCGAGCAGAGCGTCGACGCAAGCCTCAAGCTGCTGGGACTCAACTATGTTGATGTAATACAGGTGTGTCATGAGGCGGGTGTTATGTGTAGATGTGTCATGAGGCAGGTGTTGTTGTGCAGGTGTGTCATGAGGCGGGTGTTGTTATGTGCAGGTGTGTCATGAGGCGGGTGTTGTTATGTGCAGGTGTGTCATGAGGCGGGTGTTGTTATGTGCAGGTGTGTCATGGCGGGTGTTGTTATGTGCAGGTGTGTCATGAGGCAGGTGTTGTTATGTGCAGGTGTGTCATGAGGCGGGTGTTGTTATGTGCAGGTGTGTCATGAGGCGGGTGTTGTTGTGTGTTTCATGTATCTCTTAATTTCAGTATCTCAATGGCAACCTAACTTAACTTAACCTTTTCTCAGGTTCATGACTTAGAGTTTGCTGAGAGCCTCGACATTATCCTGGAGGAGACGCTACCGGCCTTGCAGAAGGTTGTGGAACAGGGAAAGGCCAGGTAGGTGAGGGAGAGAGAGGGGTGAAAAGAAGATAGGGAAACTGAGCAATAGTGAAAGATAGATGGAGAGCGAGAGAAATAGAAAGAAATGGCTGGTAATATAAGAAAACACAGAAGCACACAAATAACAGTTAGAACACCCATATCAGCTAGAAGGTCATGTATCGGACTGGCCCACACATGTATCATAAGGTCTCTGGTCACTCACCTTCAGAGATCATACTCGTAAATATTAATGCAAAGCTTCGTCATAATGTAATTAATCTAGAAAGTTTTTGTGTTTACAGATAAGATATAATTATACATCAACATCCGAAGAGAAATATACTCGTTTACACAACCAGGAAACAGAGCCTTTACCCATCATACATCATAAACATCATAATTCCACATCATAAACAAAATTTCCTTGTTCTGAACTTCTGAACCAAGGCTACAGTCATCTCCCTCTTCCTCCCCCACAGACACATCGGCATCACAGGATATCCTCTGCATCTCCTGCAGGAAGTGATAGAGAGATCCTCCATCAACATCGAACTTGTCTTGTCCTACGCTCGCAACACCCTGCTTGATGATACACTGAAGGAGTTTATTCCCTTCTTCCAGGTGTGTTGTGGTCCTGAGAGACTTAGGTGTATGTGTGTGTGTGTTTATATGTAATTTTGGGTCACCTGAAATTTTCCCTCCAGCTTATTTCACCTTTAGATGAGCCACTTTAATGCTACCTAAGGAGGTTAGGTTAGGTTATGTCATTATAAGCTAGGATAGGGTAAGCAAGCTAGGGTAGAGTTAGGGTGATTAATCTTCAGGTGAAACAAGCTAGGAGCGACTCTTCAGGGTGTATACATAAGTAGGTGATTGTAAGATATTTCCCATTTTTATCGTATATATTATCTCCTTGACAGTCGCGCAACATCGGAGTGATAAACGCAGCAGCTGTGTCGATGGGTCTGTTGTGTCACGGGAATCTGGTCGGCTGGCACCCCGCCACCCAGAACATCAAAGACGCCTGTCAACAAGCTGCCCAGTTCTGTAAGGTACTAACTTAACCTAACCTAATCTAAGCTAACCGAAACCTATCTAACCTAATAATTAACCAATCCTCACAATGTAACGTAACCGAGCCTAATTTAGCCTGATCTGACCTAACCTAATCTAACTTATGCTTAGCTAAACTAACCTGAACGAACCTAATGTATTCTAACCAAGCTTAATCCAAAATAACCGAACCTGACCTAACCTAACTTAATCTGACCTTACGTGACCCAACATAACCTCTCACCCACCCCGCCAGGACACTGGGGTGGATCTAGGGAGGCTAGCCGTCCAACACTCCCTCAAGCTGGATGGTGTCTCTACTCACCTTATGGGCAACAACAACACAAATATCCTTCGTAAGAACCTGGATAGTGTGCTTACCCCTCCGACACCCCTCGAGGAGAAGGTCGCCCTCGAGTTGAAGCTCAAGTAAGTGTGGGGCGGCAGTCATGTCAGTCACGTCAAGAGTAAGGTTAACAGTCGTGTCACCACTTATGTGGGTGTGTTGTGGGTGTGTTTGAAGGTGTATTGTGTTTGTGGGTGTGTTTGTGGATGTGGTTGTGGGGTGTGTTTGTGGATGTGGGGGTGAAATTATAAGTGTGTGGGGTATGTTGTGGGTGTGGGATGTGTTTGGCGGTGTGAATATGAATATAAATTATTAGTAGACAGCGGCTAGTTTATTGTACACCCAATCCTGTGAACTGTAGCGCCCAACCTTCGTCTATCTCAGTGTGTTGACGGAAAAAAAAACACATTCATATCAAGTATCCGCTAATCAGTGCAGGTGTGTGTCCGTCAGAGTAAGTAACTTGCTGAGTGGCATTATTCTTCACATACCTTTAGACTTCTATATCACCTCAAGTCATTGTTCGTGTTATAGGTTCTTTGACCCGCTTCCCCGCAAGCATTGGGAGGGGGTCGGACCAGCGCAATACTGGAAAAGTCTTCGACAACTACGTGGGGAGCTGCCTCAAGACGATTGAGTCACCACCCCGTCTACTATATACATCTTCTGAGTCACCACCCCGTCTACTATATACATCTTCTGAGTCACCACCCCGTCTACTATATACATCTTCTGGGTCACCACCCCGTCTACTATATACATCTTCTGGGTCACCACCCCATCCACTATATACATCTTCTGAGTCACCACCCCGTCTACTATATACATCTTCTGGGTCACCACCCCGTCTACTATATACATCTTCTGGTCACCACCCCGTCTACTATATACATCTTCTGAGTCACCACCCCATCTACTATATACATCTTCTGAGTCACCACCCGTCTACTATATACATCTTCTGGGTCACCACCCCGTCTACTATATACATCTTCTGAGTCACCACCCCGTCTACTATATACATCTTCTGAGTCACCACCCGTCTACTATATACATCTTCTGGGTCACCACCCGTCTACTATATAGTCACACCCGTCCACTATATACATCTTCTGAGTCACCCGTCCACTATATACATCTTCTGAGTCACCACCCCGTCTTCTATATACATCTTCTGAGTCACCACCCCATCCACTATATACATCTTCTGAGTCACCACCCCATCCACTATATACATCTTCTGAGTCACCACCCCGTCCACTATATACATCTTCTGAGTCACCACCCCGTCTTCTATATACATCTTCTGAGTCACCACCCCGTCCACTATATACATCTTCTGAGTCACCACCCCATCCACTATATACATCTAGTATAAACTCAGAGGCTGTGGTCCCGAGAATACTAGAAATAAAACACTTGCTCATTACTTTTGTTTCATTGACCTTGTGAGCGACTCAATGTGTTACAGAATTTGACTCGTACGACAAGTTTAAGTGTGTTATTCATCCTCTATTACAGGGATGGGGAAACTATGGCTTGCCGAGGGTGGCCAAAGACCATATTTGAATTCACTGTTTTTTAAGGGGATCTGTTGACTGATTTTTTTTATAATAGTTCGATCGCTCATGTTTGTTTTTTAATTGCTATGTATCTTTAATCTGATTGTACATCTTCAAAGTTTCATCTTGTTTGAGAAATAATGAAAAACACGCACAAAAAGGTCAGATCTATAGCCCAAGCAACTCCTAAACCAGCTAACCTTTCAATAAAAACAGGAAAAACCACATCTGTCATCAACACAACAGGTATTCAGGCAAGAATCTTGATATAGAAATAATGAAGCATTTTAAGTAGTTCCCCCCCCCCCCGAAAAGGGATAAAAATATAACAACTTTGATTATGCGAGATAGTGGCTTGATCTATGAAGTCCCTGAACTGTCAACATGTCCAGTACTGACCAGTAAGACCCTGCCTTAATTTAAACTCTCACACTAATATTGAAATTAATCCATCACATCTGTGGCGAGTTACCAAGTGGATACGAAATCATCATGGACAGACAGATGGACGGACGGACAGCATCATTGCTATCTATCTCCAAATTTTCGGTCTGGGAGGAATACTGAGAGAAATTTAACACAGGTCAATAACTTTTGTATTTTCTTAAAACTTAAAAAAACTGGTGATTGATAAATTCTTTGATGTTCTTGAAAATGAGGAAATGCAAAGTCTAAATAAACCACAGTAACAATAATAATAAAAATAATAATAATAATAATAATACTGTAATAATAATAATAATAATAATAATAATAATAATAATAATTATTAATTAATAATAATAATTACCTTCAATATGGATGAGACTGGTCTCTTTTGGAAGAGGATGCTTGTGAGGACCTATATCTCCAAGGAGGAGGAAAGAGCGGCAGGTTTTAAAACGGCAAAAGACCGATTGACACTTCTGCTTGGCGCGAATGCTGCCTGCGACTTCAAGCTGAAGTCAATGTTGATTTGTCGCGCTGCCATCCCACGGGCCCTGAAAGGTTACTCTAAGGATCACCTTCCAGTGATCTACAAGGCAAATAAGAAGGCATGGATAACCAGAGCTATATTTAGCTAGTGGTTAAACGTGTACACCGTCCCTGCAATGAAGGAATACTGTGCCAAGGAGAACCTTAGACTTCAAAATTCTTCTGATCCTTGACAATGCTCCAGCTCATCCTCCCAATCTCGACAACTTGCATGACAGTGTAAAAGTTGTATGCCTGCCTCCCAACACAACAGCACTGATGCAGCCTATGGACCAAGGTTTCATCGCCACATTCAAGGCGTATTATTTACGCCGTACCATGGCCCAGCTGCTCAAGGCTACAGTCAGAGAAAATAAACCAACAAACCGAGAATATTGGCGTGGCTTCAACAGTCTTCATGCAATTGACAACAATGGCAAAGCATGGGAAGAGGGTTCAGAAAGTTGCCTAAATGGTGTTTGGCGTAAATTGTGGCCTGAGTGCATCAACAGTTTTACGGGATTCACGGACTTAGTCCCAGCAGTGAATAATGATATACTCAGCTTGGCTAGAGAGGCAGGCTTTGATGAGCTGGAATCAGAGGATATTGAGGATGTCCTGGCATCCCATACAGAAGAACTCACCAATGAAGATCTGCAACTGTTAACAGAACACAGTCCCATTGAATACGACGATGACGACGACAATGAAGAACCTCAACGAATGCTAACTTCCAAGAGGATGGCAAAAGCGTTCAACATTATCCAGCAAGGAATGCAAATCCTTATAGATGACGACCCAAACAGAGAACGTAGCCTAAAGATTCAACACAGCATTGATGACAGTCTTGGTTGTTACACTCAGATCTATAAGGAGAAGAAGAGTAGCACCAAGCAATCAACACTGAATTCATTTTTTCGTCGCAGGATGGCAGAAGCAGCTGCTTCACAACAGCCGGCAGCCGAGAAGGAGCACACAACAGCCGAGGAGGAGCAAACAACAACGGAGGAGGAGCAAACAACAACGGAGGAGGAGCAAGCAGCGGGGTGGGGAACCCCAGTCAGTGCAGGAGGAAGAGGAGAGTCTCAGTGTCTCACCACCCTCCTCCTCCGCTCCACTACCCACCACACACTTGCTCTACCACCTCCCCTCCTTCTCTCCTGTCATACTCCTCCGCTCCACTACCCACCACACACTTGCTCTACCACCTCCGCCCACCGGTGAGTACCAATACAAACTTAGTGTAGTTGTATAAGCATGCACTATTTTCTATAGAAATGGTAATGATTTTCTGTACGAGTACATGTAATGTATTTCACGGGGGAAAGAGAGGCTCAGGAACGTAACTCCTGTATTTTATCTACAAGGTAACCCCGCTTTACGCGGTCAATTAAACCCACGGAGGTCCGCATAAAGCGGGAAACGCGTAAAGTGAACAGCAGAACATATGGGATTAATTGAAATAGAGACTGGGCCGACCCCCAAACTCCACTTTTTCCCGACACAATACGTACGTTTTAGTAAAAATAACATCTTAACTTTATGATGGTATACACACACATAATATAGAAGAGAAATATCAGTAAGAGAATAATATACTGTACCAGGTAAAAGAAAAATCAAGGTTAACACATATGTCATGGTAGGTTAGGTTAGAAAAAATCAAGGTTTAACACTTACGTAAGGTTATGTTATGTTAGGAAAAATCAAGGTTAGGTTTAACACTTACGTTAGTAGAAGAGATGGGTCGGCGTACGGGAATGGAGGCTGGTTCCGAGGTAGAGGGCAGGCTACTGGCCCTCAGGTGAGTCACCATCACTGTCATACACACTTGTCAGGGCCTCCCTGACAAATCCCTCAAAGTCACCATCACTGTCTCTGTCTCTGTCACTATCACTGGCTTGAACTGGCTGTGGTGGGTTGCGGGCGAAGAACTCGGTAATGCTTTGTTGACGGCTAGTGTTGATGTTGTCATGATACACCTTGATGTAGGGCTCCATAGTCTGCAACAGCTGGGTAGTGAAGACTTCATACCGGTTATTGTCAAGGTCGTCGGAAAGGAGGAGCTTCAGTTAATCTACACACTTGATGGCACCCCTTACATTACCATGCAATAACTTGTGTTCTTCTCTGCAATTCCCATCTTACGTGACACTGCTGCGTACAGTTCACGTGCGTACTCCTGAACTTAGCGCGTGTCGACCGCCATGTTCCGTCTTGCCTGACGAATCAAGTAGCTCACAAGTAACTTCTCCGTCTTGAGAAGCACCTTGTTGTGGCAATACTTGATCATTGAAGCACCTGTAGACTTTGTGATGTTTATGTGTTCTTTAATCTTGGCTGCATCCTTCTTTATTGTCCGGATCGTAGAATCATTCACACCATGCTGGCGCGCCAAATCAACCTGTCTTGTTCCTTTCTCCAACTCTCGGATGATCTTGTACTTCACCTCGTAGCTTTGGGCACGTCGTATCTTCTTTGGCTTAGGGCGGCTGGGTCCAGGTAATGCAAGGTTTTTCTGTGGTGGTGGTGGTCCAGTGGCAACCATTCTTATGGAACAATAGATACCGATATACACGGTGTAGCCAGGAGGGGTGTAACTGACGCGGGTAAGTCAATGGGCTTCATCGCTCCCGCGACAGGGCACGTCATATTACATTAAACCAATCACAGCTAGCAGGGAGGGAGGTAAGGATGCGTGGCCCAATCACAGTCCGATACGTCATATGACGTCACCGATAACGCAACAAAGACATACACTGCGCAACCTACTCGCACCGCTTACCCAACATGGCGGGAGGTTTGAATCCAAAAATGGAGTGGCTCGAGATGACCGCCAGCCGCTCTCCGCGTATATGAGTAGATGCACCGCGTAAAGTGAACATTCCGGTTCTGGCGGGGTACCGCGTAAATGTAGAAACGCGTAAAGCGGGGTATTGCTGTATTTCTTATGGGGAAAATTGATCCGCTTCACGTTGTTTCATATAATGTCGCGTTTTCAGGAATGTATCCCCGACGTTAAGCGAGGCCTTACTGTACAGGCATCGAGGAAGTGAGCTGTAACTGTGGCCAGCCGCACGCTCCCTCCCTCCTATGGTTACTGACTGCCCGGGTGAACTGCGTCATGTCTAATCTTACCAGTAAATGTGACGAATAAATAAAAATAATAATTATAAATCAAATTAAAGACAAAAATACTGTGTTGCACATTGGTGACTTAGCTATGAAATTACATGCCTTGTCCTTGGATATAATTCCTCGTTATCCTTCATATAGGATATTATTTTGGATATTATTTCTCACTGTCCTCATTTAGAGATGACTTCGCTTAACAATTGTTTTTCAGGAACGCATCACAATTATTAACCACGGAATACCTGTATTGAACAAAA